GTCAGAAAGACAGAGAGAGACAGAGAGACAGAGAGCGAGAAATCATCCCCCAGGGGGCATGACCACGCCGCAGTCCCTTCTCCTCCATTCTCTCGGGATCTTGGGCACGCACGCACACGCATCAGCGTGAGTTTAAGCCACCGGGTCCAGGACTCGAACAGCGGTCAGCTACATGGGAGTCCAGCGACATAGCCATTACACTAACTGCTGGTCCCACAAAATTTGTTTTAAAAGAAAAAACTAAATAAAGTAGAAGTGTTTGCTGCATTTCCACTTTGGCACAAAGGTCGGTAATGTGGAACTGGCAAGGACTCGAAGGGTTTTCGAGTTCACTCTGCCAGGCTGGCCCCGTGGGTGGGGTCTCTGCTCCCTGCTGCTCCGGGAGGCCACTCCAGGGTGGCCGGGGAGTACCTCACCTCCAGAACAAGGATGGCAGACAGGCCAAGGCAGCCTCTGGCCCAGAGCCCGTGGTGTTTGGGGCCCAAGAGTCGGCCCTGCTGCCAACAGGCCTGCTGGTGCTCCTGGGACAGTTCCAGGAGCCACTCAGAGGGATGAGAGCAGCTTTCTGTCCCCTACGAAGCGGCCATGCACAGTGCAGGGTGATCGTGACCGCACACGCCATCCGTGTGACCTGCTGACATGTCCTTACAGGCCCAAGACCACTGCCCAGCGGCCTGGCATCCCCGAAGCGCAAGCTGGAAGCAGCGGAGGAGCCGCCTGGCGGAGAGCTCAGCAAACGGGCCAGGGTGGCAGAGCTGCCCAACCCAGAGCTGCCAGGCAAGGACGTCTGAGGTGAGCGACAGCAGCTCAGCCAGCATCCGGCTGGCTCACCCTGCTGGCCCCTGGCTGGAAGTCTGGTAGGGACTGTGTGACTTTTAGGACAGCAGTTCAAAAATCCTACCGTGCTGACTGTTGTACTTCTAAAATCTAAAGGGAGTTTAAGTTAAGCCCTTTTCTTCCTTTGCCAGCTGAGGAAAAGGCGAGGTTTTATTTGTCACATTCTACCTACTGCAGTGATTCAAACCAACCAAAAGAAAGCAGAAACGGGATGTGAAGCCATAGGCGAAAGGGACCCCTGGCAGGACTCAGGGCCCTGCACTTCCCCGCAGGCTGTGTTCTGCAGACCGGCCAGCGGAGGGCAGCACTGACCTTCAGAAACAGGGTAGAGGGCGAGGTGGCTCCCCACCCAACCCCGCCTGAGGACCAGTACACCCAGTCTCCCTGTCATCTTTGCCTTTTATGGCCACTCCTCTGTTGTCACCCTCCTTGTGACTTCAGCTCTGTGCTTCCTTGTCTGCACTTACCTTTCTTCAAAGCCTCTAGAATATCATCCAAAAAAATGACTCCTCCTTCCCCAAAACAGGAAGAGCCTTTTATGCTGTTCTAGGAGAAATGTGAATTCCTGACCTTTCCCAGTCCTTGTCCCAGGCTGGGCCACGTCTGTGTCTGCCCCATTAGATCAGAAGATCGGAAGGTTGTTCTGGTGGATCGGCTTTTCTTCCCCACCTCCTCCTGCTTTAGGGCCAGGCTGGGGCCACCTAGTTGGGTGACTGGAGCTGTGTTCAGTGAGGTGGGCGCGTGGTGCTGGCAGGCCTGGCCTTTCCCAGGCCCAGACACAGACATCGCGGATGCCACACGGTGCCCCTTGCTCCTCCACACCCCTCGCAGCCAGCTCAGCCCCGCAGTACAGCCTGGGCCTGGCCAGCCAGGTGCCTGCCTGCCGGCTGAGAAGACAGAGGAGCAGTGAGGCTAGACATCTGGGTCACAAGGCCAGGCTGGGGCCACCTGGTTGGGCGTCTGGAGCTGTGTTCAGTGAGGCGGGCGCGTGGTGCTGGCAGGCCTGGCCTTGCCCAGGCCCAGACACAGACATCACGGATGCCACACGGTGCCCCTTGCTCCTCCGCACCCCTCGCAGCCAGCTCAGCCCCGCAGTATTTGGGCACTCATGTATACATGCCCAACATGACTGTTCCAGCCAGTACT